CTTGCTCACACTGTCAGTTTTGACAGGCAGCCATTTCAAATAATTTTCTTTCTGTTTTTAGGGTATGGATTGAATATTGCTCAGAGCTTGGGGTGACATGTTATAACCTAACCGTGCTTTTAACATCTCCACAGCTGACCTGACTCTTGTGTCCCTCGGTCGTCATGATGCTGTTTGTTCACTGAGGCCTTCATAGAACAGAATGAGATCAGAGTGGATTCTATTTATTCTTTGATTTCTGATGACTCCTGGTGGAACTGGATTTAATTTATAGGTATAAGGGTAGAGGGAGCTAAACTCAGATGCATGCCTCACTTAGAAATGTATATGTTCAAGGCACTCCTATCAAAACGGTGTAAATTTTCTCTAAGGTTATGTTTATACGTATAAGCTCACCGAGCTGTTATTTTCCTCTATTGCTACGTAAAAGGAGATATTTCTGTTCTGTTAATAAATACTGAAAATAAATAACCAGAAATAAAGAGCACACATGTGAAAAGATGCATATTTTTCTTTTATTAAAAGTTAAATTCTGCTGCTGTTTCAACCAGATTCAATATTACATCTGGTATTATTCTAATGTTGATGTGGTGTAGGGCAAAAAAGTATGATTCACGTGATTTGACAGCATGTATGCTAAAAATCTCATTGCACTAATTAGATAAATCATCCAACGCCACATCAAAACTGAATATTATAACAAATTAATTGGTTACAATTAAGTCTTTCAAGGCTTTTTTCTATCACTCAGTATTTTCTTTCTTGCTTCACTTAGTTGTCTGAATGCTCCTTTCATTAATGAAAATATATGTAGATAGATAAAAATCCTTGAGTTCTCTTTTTATATGGATCTAAATATAGTTCTGTCTTTTTTTGTAGAGAAACTTTTGATGTTCTTTAAGGATTTTAATCTGTTGTGAAGCTTTTTGCACATGTTCTGCAAATAAACTTGATATTAAATAACCATTAATGTATAGCTGTTTTGTTTTTTCAATTTACCAACAAGAGAAATCACAGAATGTCTTATCTTTGTTTTGATAAATCTCTTTCCATCCACCGTTGCCATGTTAATCCCACTGATGCTTGGCTTCTTATTTCAAACCATAATAAAAAAAAATTTTGTTAAAATCCCGTTTACTTGTTTGTGGCTATCCTCCATTCTGAAATCATTGCTCTGTTTTCCTGGTTAAAATAATCTATTTTCAAAACTTTTAGATTTTGTTATGAAATTATTTAAGCTTGAAATCCCCCCCCCCCCCCCCCCCCCCAAAAAAAAAAAAAAAACATAATCCCTTAACAGAACTGACTTTAAAAAAAAACAAAAGTTGAATGTCTTAATTTGGGTTAAATTTTGATATAAAATATGATTAAATGAATTAAAACCCCTCTCAGTCATGGATAAATAAATTATTCTAGTAATAAAGCATTCAAACTGCTGATGAGCTGTATTAAACATAATCATTATCTTTAGTTACAGAGGCGTAGCCAGAACATTTTAATAAGGGTGGCCAGGCAATAACCAATGTACACTGAGGGGGGGCCGAAAGCGGATAGGCACCAGAATGTCAGGGTCAGTCTAAACCAGCGGTCACCAACCTTTTTACAGTTGAGGGCTAATTCAGGGGCACTGAGTCACAGGAAGGGCTACCAAAACTGACCTATGAATTGCAAGGGTCAATGTTCACCTAAACTTCATACATTATATACATATCTTTATTGTATCTTTAAATTTCGAATTTTCTTTTAGACATTTTAATTTTTAAATCTCTATAAATGCTTAAATGCCATATATGATTAAATGATGAAATGTTCTATAACCCAATTAAAAAAAGAAGAGCAACAGAATACAGTGAAATTTCAAACGTAGCTCACTGTTGAGTTGTTCTATTTTCAGAAGACTCTAAGGGCACCCCTTGTGGTCCTTGGTGCCCGTGGGCACCATGTTGGTGACCCCTGGTCTACACTGTTCCAACAGGAAAATTGAAAAAACGAGCAAAACATCCATCCATACTTTCCTACAGCCTTTGCCAACAAATACAGGTGCTGGTCATAAAATTAGAATATCATGAAAAAGTAGATTGATTTCAGTAATTCCATTTAAAAAGTGAAACTTGTATATTATATTCATACATTACATACAAACTCATATATTTCAGATGTTTATTTTGTTTAATTTTGATGATTACAAATGACAACAAATGAAAATCTCAAATTCATCATATCAGAAAATTAGAATATTGTGAAAAGGTTCAAAATTGATGGCCCCTGGTGCCACACTCTAATCAGCTAATTAACTCAAACCACCTGCAAAAGCCTTTAAATGGTCTTTCAGTCTAGTTCTATAGGCTACACAATCATGGGGAAGACTGCTGACTTGACAGTTGTCCAAAAGACGACCATCGACACCTTGCACAAGGAGGGCAAGACACAAAAGGTCATCGCTAAAGAGGCTGGCTGTTCACAGAGCTCAGTGTCCAAGCACATTAATAGAGAGGCGAAGGGAAGGAAAAGATGTGGTCGAAAAAAGTGTACAAGCAAGAGAGATAACCGCACCCTGGAGAGGATTGTGAAACAAAACCCCTTCAAAAATGTGGGGGAGATTCACAAAGAGTGGACTGCAGCTGGAGTGAGTGCTTCAAGAACCACCACACACAGACGTATGAAAGACATGGGTTTCTGCTGTCGCATTCCTTGTGTCAAGCCACTCTTGAACCACAGACAGCGTCAGAAGCGTCTTGCCTGGGCTAAAGAGAAACAGGACTGGACTGCTGGTGAGTGGTCCAAAGTCATGTTCTCTGATGAAAGTAAATTTTGCATTTCCTTTGGAAATCAAGGTCCCAGAGTCTGGAGGAAAAGAAGAGAGGCACTTCATCCACGTTGCTTGAAGTCCAGTGTAAAGTTTCCACAGTCAGTGATGGTTTGGGGTGCCATGTCATCTGCTGGTGTTGGTCCATTGTGTTTTCTGAGGTCCAGGGTCAACGCAGCCACATACCAGGAAGTTTTAGAGCACTTCATGCTTCCTGCAGCTGACCAACTTTTTGGAGATGCAGATTTCATTTTCCAACAGGACTTGGCACCTGCACACAGTGCCAAAGCTACCAGTACCTGGTTGAAGGACCATGGTATCCCTGTTCTTAATTGGCCAGCAAACTCTCCTGACCTTAACCCCATAGAAAATCTATGGGGTATTGTGAAGAAGAAGATGCAATACACCAGACCCAACAATTCAGAAGAGCTAAAAGCCCCTATTAGAGCAACCTGGGCTATCATAACACCTGAGCAGTGCCACAGACTGATCGACTCCATGCCACGCCGCATTGCTGCAGTAATACAGGCCAAAGGAGGCCCAACTAAATACTGAGTGCTGTACATGCTCATACTTTTCATGTTCATACTTTTCAGTTGGCCAACATTTCTATAAATCCTTTGTTTTTATTGGTCTTCAGTAATATTCTAATTTTCTGATATGATGAATTTGAGATTTTCATTTGTTGTCATTTGTAATCATCAAAATTAAACAAAATAAACATCTGAAATATATGAGTTTGTATGTAATGTATGAATATAATATACAAGTTTCACTTTTTAAATGGAATTACTGAAATCAATCTACTTTTTCATGATATTCTAATTTTATGACCAGCACCTGTAGACGCAGATATTTCAACATCTGCAATTTCTAGATAAAAGGTATAGTGGATAAAACTCAGTTTGGGTTCTGGGGTGTAAATCTTTTCCATTTTCATTACTTGTCTACTTGTATCAATAAACATTCTGCAAAACATTAATATTTACAAGCACTAATCTATCTGCATAAATTGATTATTTGATACACTTTTATTAAAATTGTTATTTATAACATTATATAACTGGGATGTTTACCTATCTGGTTCAGCTTATACAAAATGAGTGACAGGTCTATGTTACTTGTTAGCTTCCATCATGCTACAGTTGTTCCTTAGTGGTTTAAATTTTAAACTAAAATCTAGTTTAGGTTCATAACACGATAGAAGAAATATAGTCTAAAGTCATAGGGAAGTCATTTAAATGTCAAATCATTCTGGCTTAAACATGTATATAAATCTACTCTTTATCAGACTATATTTTCCCAAAATGTAGAAAATGTCTTTTTTTTAAAAATCCTGTCTTAAAATCTGTGGGGGTTTTCCCGTTATTTTATGTAAGTTATACGTCAGCTTGCACACCTAAATTGGGCCAATCATATATCAACAGTCATCTGTCAATCAAATGTTTTCGTTCAATGCATCTTGATTCATATGTCGCAGCTAATATAAGAAATAAGAATAATTTACTTTACCATTGATTTCACTGAAGACTCCTAGATGACTTGCTGAGACACATAATTTTCTCTTTACCCCATATATCACAGAATCTAGTTCTGAAAAGAGCATGAATTCTGTACTTATAATCTTTGATGTTAGTATATTGATGTGTATAATTAACCACAAAAAATTTAATGTTTTGAATAGTCCACTTTAGAGTATTACAACTGCCACCATCTGTATTAGAGGGGAAAAAATGGTAGGGGTGGCCACAGGCGTGGCCATTGATTGGCAAAGGGTGGCCATGGCCACCCCTGGCCACCCATCTAGCTCCACCCCTGTTTAGCTCCAGATTCTCCACAAATGTTAAGGCTTTTTGATTAAAAAAAAACTTTACATCTACAAATGGCATCAATAAATTGAGTTGATCCCCTAATAAACAAAACAGTATTGTCTGAAAACCACCTGACTTATGTCTTAGGCTTTAGGTATAACTATATCTTGGAGTTATGAAAAAGTGTATTTTTGCGATCTGCCATAATAGAAAAGAAGAAGAAGAAAACGTGTATCAATGGTTCAATATTTTGAACTCTGTATTACTGTTCATGTAATTAATTCAGTTCTTGTGAATGTAAGTACACCTTTAACGGGGGGAAATAAAGGCACTGCACCTTTAACTCGTTCCTCGTGAGTTCGGTCACGTGCCTGCCAAAGCCTCGCGCAGCTGTCAACATTGAGGAAGCAGCGAGAAGCAACAGTGGAAGTAGAAACTGTAGCTGCTGCCATTAATTATCTGTATCTGTTGTTAACTGTTTGTAGACACCTACGGTTACGGAAGAAGTTATAGAGAAAGTTAATGGTGACTTCTGCGCGCTTTATAATACATGAAGAGTGAAAGGGAACAATGTTTAGAACAGGTAGCTGTGGCTTGCTAACTTCTTAGCTAGCTTGCTAACAGTCAGCTGTTGTTATGGTTGGGGAGATAGCTAGCTAAAAAAAATTATAATAGAGTGTTGAGTTTTAAATTTGTTTAAATTACCAAACTTCATCGGACTGTTTATTTCCGCATCGACTTTGGACACATGGGACTGGCTGGTTGGTGTTTAATGGAGACCTAAAAGGCTGCATCACTCCGACAGGCTGCTGTAACTGATCCTGCAGAAGTATCTTGGGACTCAATCAGGACTGCTTCAAGATGCACGACGCTTATGAGCCAGTTAATATTTTGGAAAAGCTTCCCCTTCAGATCGACTGTCTTGCTGCTTGGGGTGAGTGGCTTTTTTCACATCTTCCTGTCGTTCATCGGTGGTTGTTTGTCCTTCAGCCTCAACTGTCCCCCAGGACAGTTTGCTCTCTGTGGTGGGGAGGGATGTGATACAGGGTGATACAGCAGGGATACACCATCTAGATAAGGGGAGGGTTATATACCTGAACATCTGAATATATATAAACAGTCCTTTGTACCATGGTTTGTTTTTTTGTTTTTTTTTGTATGTAAAAGCTCGATTTGACAAAACTAAAATATTTGTTGTCAACCTGCTCCAGCTGTTGTTATTCTGCTAAATTATTTAGGTTAATAACTCATATTTATCTAATCTGAATACTTTACTATTTATATAGGATTGGGAGATTTAGAGTTATAATCTTAGCACGATGGTTTTGAATTGCTATCAGGATAACTATAAAAGTGTTTAAAAAATGGACATTGTCTTTTTTTAAGTCTTTCTTATGTAACTTTATGGCTATTATTGTCTGCAACAGCAATCATAGCATCAAAATTATGAATACTTATCTTGAAAAATAAACCCTTATATTAAAATAAGCTTCTTCAGGGCTACATAAAGAAGTGTTTTACCTTACTAAACATTCCAGAGTCACTGCATTTAATCATATTCTTTTAAACTTCTTCAGTTTTTAAAATGTAAGTAATTCTAATTTATAGTTTAGTCGATAAATCAACAATAAGTGTAAACGATTTGATAAATGTCAGGTGAAATATCCTGCTATGTTTAGATGTTTCTGAAGATGTTGATACAATTTCCAAATATTCTTTATCCATATTCTGAGAACTCTGTTTTATGTGTTTTTATATGTCTTTCTTCATTTCCACTGTTTATTTTTTCTTAATCTCTCTGGTATATTTTCATCTAGATTCTGTCAGTTTTTCGAGGGGGCGAGGGTTTGAGAGGCATTTTATCCAATCTCTCTAGATGCTGGACAATTAATAGATAAACTCGATTAATCAATTTGTTTTTTAACGAAGATTCAAATTTTAGAATATCTGGATTTTTTTTCTTTATTCTTTTTAATTAATCCACTCTTTGGGCTTCCATAGCTCAGAGTAAGATGAGTTGCTCAGTTTTTGCTCTTAGATGTGTGTTTATAACTGATGAACTAGCTCTCTGTGTGATACCACGTGTTGCAAACATTTAGTTTGTTGTGGTTTCATTGTTTGTTCAAAAACACCATTAGTTAACAAGCAGGTTTCACAGCTTGAATTTTCTTCATCTTTAAATTAGGTCATCTTCAAACCATTAATCATCTTCATTATGAAACTTAAGTTAGTAAAAAAAAAGATTAATCGGTTGCTAAAAATCTAAGAATAGATTTTTAATCCCATCGCCCAGCCTTAGCTAAATCTATGTCTGTATGTATTTAATAAAAAGAAACAACTGTTTTCTGTTGATAAATGTTCTCTAAATAAGCAGCTAATTATAAAAATCAAGCTAAATCTAAAGAAAAACAAAACTCCTGAAATATAAACAAGACCTGGAATTGATAACTTTTTAGGCCTGTTCTCAGATTTCAGAAAGCAGAGATTTGGACTAAAATTATTAAATCCCTGGAGATTAAAGGAATAGTACACCCAAAACATGATTAGCCTTCATTTTCTACTCACCCCCCATGCTGAACAACACTCTGGAGTACTTTTTGATATCTCAAATGCATCTGGAGATCTGGGAGGCTTCTTGCTGTCTGCTGACATTCAAATAATGGAGGTCATTAAATACATACATACAGACATAGATTTAGCTAGTGTTACTTTTTGGTCAGGCGCCATGGATGCAGATTGTTAAAGCAGGTCACTTATTTCTACAAGGCTGTGTGCCCTCCTTACACCTTCTAACAATTGGATTTTGCTTCCTTCCTTCCTTCCTTCCTTCCTTCCTTCCTTCCTTCCTTCCTTCCTTCCTTCCTTCCTTCCTTCCTTCCTTCCTTCCTTCCTTCCTTCCTTCCTTCCTTCCTTCCTTCCTTCCTTCCTTCCTTCCTTCCTTCCTTCCTTCCTTCCTTTTAGCATTCTTAAAATAGATAAGTGTCTAAATAAGGAAAGAAAAAGCTCACAGTATGATTGAGAGGCTAATAAATTTAATGACCTTTACTGAATGGATCTAAATCTAGATCTAAATGGATCTAAATAAATACCTAAATCAAATGTTTTGAATATCTGGTTATAATTCAGTCCAGCTCTAAAGAGGTCTGCTAATGAACTGATATTTATTTCAGCAGTGCAGCAGAGATTCATTTAAAAATTGAAGAACACTGGTGCTGAAGGACTCGAGTTTGACACAAATCAAGGTAACTTCCTTTATCATGACAGTGTCTGACCCTCAGTGTTTGTCCCCACAGAAGATTGGCTGCTCGTTGGAACAAAACCAGGACATCTTCTTCTCTACCGGATCAAGAAGGATGCAGGTAAATCAGATTCAGGGATGAATTTTAATTTTGACTTGTCTTTTTTTTTTTTTACTGTTAATGAAGGGATTTTCTTTTTTTTCTTCCTCCTAAGGTTCCAACCGATTTGAAGTGACTTTGGAAAAATCCAATAAAAACTTCTCAAAGAAAATTCAGCAGGTAGGATATAGATGCAAGAATGAAGAAAAGAATGAATGAAGTTTTGACACATTAAACAAAATGTTCTACCTGTTAACCCCCCCCCCCCCCCCCCCCATGTTTTATATGATTAATTGGGTTTGTTAAATCACTTTTACTGGCAATAAGATTTTTTGAGAAGTAATAATTAAGTAAGTAATTTTTTCTTAAAATAAGTGCATTTGTTCTTGTATTGTGGAGGTAAGACATTTTGCCAATGGAAAAAGACAATTTACATATAAAATAAGAAAAAAAATCAATTACATTGTCTTACTTCAAGTGCATATTATCTAATTATCTTATTTTGAGAGTAAAAATACTCATTCCATTGGAAAATCTTCTTATTTACCTACTCACTTAAGGGTAAACACACTTAATTTAAGAAATGTTGACTTATTTCTAGATTGTTTTTTGCAGTGTGGCAGTAACCCTGCCACACAAAACAATTACAAATGTTCAGACTGCTATATGGCATACATCACTTCGCCCTTTCCCCATTCATTATAAAGACGGAAGTCATTGGGACAAAATTTCCATGAAAGACTGTATATTTGTGTAAATTTTGCAGGGTTAATATTCAGGCAATGCAGCAACCTCCTGCTGGGATCTACACCCATGTTTTCTGTGAAATTATCAAACATAAGATTATCTGTTTTAAGGCTCTTTAGAATTGCTTTAAAATCCGTTTTTATTTGGCGTTTTCCATTCAGTCTGGTACTAGAATTATAACCCAACATCTGCTGCTTTATTATTGTATTTTTTTCTCTTTCTGCAGCTATACGTTGTCTCTCAGTACAAAATTCTTGTCAGTCTTTTGGGTAAGTTTGGACATCCAATTTTTTATGTATTTAGAATTTTACCATCATATTTCTAAAAAGTTTGTTTTCTGTTCTCGTAGCTGTTTTTAAATGAAGAAAACAACAACATTTAAAATACGTTGAAGCCAGTTTTTGCAAGTCTACAGAATAGCTTTTCTCACTGTGACTGCTAGCTTTTTGATTCAGGGATGTTTCTTTCCACTTTCCATTATTTTCCATTGATGGACTCTGCACAGAGTTTATTTACTGACAAAGATTATATGTAATTTTTGGCTTAAACACAACATTAGTATATTTTTCTACAGTTTTGTCTTAATTGCTTATTCAGCAAATAGTTCTTCTGGTTAACGGTCATCCAAGTCTCCACAATGCATAGTTTTTAACCATCTAGTTCAGAAGATTCAACAAAAACGTCTTTTGTGTCTTCCAGAGAACAACATCCACGTCCATGACCTCTTGACCTTTCAGCAGATCACTGTGGTGTCTAAAGCCAAAGGGGCCACACTCATCGCATGCGACCTGCAGGTCAGTAAGTCTGTCTGTGGTTATAGAGCATTATTACTAAGACATGTAACTGTCCCACATTTCTTCCTTTGGTGAACGTATAAATTATAATAGCAAGAAGTCCTCCTCTGGCTTCTGAACATTTTTATTTTCTACACATTTGAGAAAATAACTGCTGTGATTATGATTGAGTTTTATTTTGGGGAGCATACCTTATGATCTTATATTTCTTAGATTGCTGTATACGCCCAAAGTTCTATAATTCTTAAAAAGACTTGAGTATCTAATAAACAGTAATAATAGATTCCTTGCTTTTTTATTTAATCTTTTATATAAATTTTGTGCATTTAATATAAAAACAAAGAAGAGAAAAATCCAAACAGAAGTTCATGCTGCCATTTTGACAGCCATAGACGGGCCTCTGAGGATGGATGTTTATAAACTTTACACAGCTTTGTTGTCATCTGATAGACGCACAGGCGTCAGCTAGTCTAGTTCCAACAAGTCTGTTTCTTGGAAAAGTTACCATAACACATGGTCATTTAGAGGTAACTAACTGATTTTTGCATGCATGCTATGAACTTTGTATGACATTACAAATACAACCTTAATGTATTTTTTTAGGATTGTATATGACAGATGTTTGGCATTCTGTAAAGGCATTAGAGTTTGTTTGTAGATATAATTTGTAAATTATAAAAACCAAGAAATGCACCCTGTTTAGAGGAAAAGCTAAAAGATGGCAGAAGATTAAGTCCCAAACTAAATAAATGTAAGAATCTAGAACAAACTTTTTTTTTTTTTTCCATTTGATCAAACTGAATCAACACTGATTTTGTTGTACAAGAAAAAGCTGGAGCAGCAATACCTGAAAAATGCTACAGCTGTGATTGCAGACTGTCACACGGACAAAGTGGGTTAAATACTAAAGCGAGACATGCTTTCTGAGCCTCATTCTTAAAAAAGTTTGACATGCTTCATATATGATTTTTCTTCTTTACAGTTTTTGAATGAGGTCTCGATTTGATACTCTACGTTTTCTATATGGATTTAAAATCTTTCGATATGTTTTCAGCCCTTCAAAGAAGTTGTTATATATTTTTGTTCTTCAATTTATGTTATTTTAAAGGAATATTAATCCATGAATGTTAGAGTTGCCAATTAGTTCTGACTGTGTGTAAAGTAGGAAGTTTTAGCTGTGCAATTTGTGAAGCATTTGTTCCAAGTGGGAACCTGAAAGCAGAAGCACTGGTGGGAAACTAGAGTTGGAAGCCAAATAAGCCAGACATTTCTTTAGATATTAGCTTCCCTATTTGTTTCCATATTTAAAAATAAATATTTTCATATGACTTATTGTTGCTCCTGCTGATCGTTTGTTTTCTAAATTTAAAGCAACCCTTTAGGTGCGTGCAAAAGCAGTTGAAATACAAAAACAATAAATGATATTTTTGTACAACTATTGATGTATATGTTTTTGTTTTTCAAGAAAAGATGGAGAAATGGTTGGACTGGTTCACATAAACTCGGTATCAGTTAGTATGCTGTCAAGAGTTCATCAGATTGACACTGGGGAATAAAAACTGTCTTTATTGTGGCTGTTTTTTGTAAATCGAGCTCTGTAACACCAACTGAAACCTTAAACAGTTTGAGGCAGGATGTTTGGGGTCTGCAGAGTGTTGGCTAAGCATTTCCTCACAATTCCTTTCTGCAAACGTTATTGGTCAGTGCTCTCTGGGCTGTCATAGTGGCCCTTCCCAGTCGAATGGCAGCTCAACTCCCAGTTAAATCTCCTCCAACATCCAGCCACTGGAGTGAACGTTCTTTAGATCTTAATGTCCACAAATCATGACACAAAGAATATTTTAGTACAAATATTGATGTTTAAAAAAGGAATTAAAAGAGACCAGACAAGGGCCTATAAAGGAAAGTGGCGAAATGTTGAATGGCTACTACTGTATGTAGTTTAGGTCAAACCACACAGTGACTGACAAACATAGGACATAGGGATGCCCTGATACCATATTAGCATCGGTATAAGCATCAGTAAAAAAAAGAAAATATCAGAATATATCGGCCTGCATCTAAAATCTCAGATATAAGCAAGCTGTTTGAAACACTCCACCTTTTTTTTCATCCATTAATTAATTAATAATAAATAGGTCAGTTCTCATGAATATTTGAGTAGAATCATTTCATCAAGACTTTTCTGACATTCGGCATTTGAAAATGTAATAAAAGTATACAAAAATATAATTTCTGGAATCAATCAACACTCAAAGCTCCAATATCTGTTGTATCTGAAATGAAAAAGTCCCTAACAGGACAGACTGAATGACAGCAGTATAGAGGATGACCAGCAGCTCCTGTGGAAGGTATCTAGTCTCGTCAGCTGCTGTCTCTGCTGGTTGAGAATGGGGAGAAGAGATCATGTCGAAGTCCACTAATATCTCTGCTTTTAGTGGATTAAAGTTGGTTCTGACTGCTCTAACAGATGTTATTTCTAAATGTTGGTGTTGTCTACAAACTTCAGGAGTTTTACAGAACGATCCACTAAGGGACAATCATTGGTGCTCAGCGAGGAAAGTGGAAAGAGAACACATCCCAGGGGAGCTCCATTTTCGATTCCAATTAAGGGCTTACATCCTTTTTAAATGCATTAGAATTTAACAGAGTAAAGTAGGTGACCACCAGCTAATATCAGCCACTTTGTTTTCCATTTAAAAACAGAAAAACTCATATGTAACATTTTTGTCCTATTATTTTTAATAAAATCTACTATAACGTCCACCATGATTTTTTTAAAGGTTCTAAGTGTTTTTTGTTTGTTTGTTACTTTCAGCAAACAAGTACAGGAGAGCAAAGCCTCAGAATGTGCGTGGCAGTGAAAAGGAAACTCCAGCTGTATTACTGGAAGGATAGAGAGTTTCATGAGCTGCAGGTAAATTATTTCAGGTTGATTATTTAGGTTTCACTCCATCCATTGACAGGACTGTGTTTTGCTTGTACTTTTGGGGAGATTTGCCATCTAATCATTTTGTTTCTGTGTCTCAGAGCGACTTGGGTGTGCCGGATATTCCAAAGTCCATGGCTTGGTGTGAAAACTCCATCTGTGTTGGTTTCAAACGGGACTATTACCTTATTCGGGTGTGTTTTACTGAGTATAGCCTCAGATATTTGCGTTGTTTGTGTTGGTGCAAGTGAAAGACATTCTTAGTGAAGTTAAAAAATGTTTTCAGACAAAGCTAAGCTAATAACTAAAAAATATGGTTTATTTGTCATATGTTCTTAAAATATTATCTTAATATATTTCTGAGCGCGATATGAATGGCTTTTACTTTTTTTTTTGACACATTGTGACCCTCTTTGCTGTTAACAGCTGGATGGGCGCGGCTCCATCAAGGAGCTCTTCCCCACTGGGAAACAGTTGGAGCCTCTGGTTGCCCCCCTGGCTGATGGAAAGGTGGCTGTTGGGCAGGATGACCTTACTGTGGTACTTAATGAAGAAGGAGTTTGCACCCAGAAGTGTGCCCTGAATTGGACAGACATCCCTATAGCCATGGGTAAGGAAAAGAAACAAAACTATTCCCCAACGCTTTGCTTAATTTTAATCAAAAGAGACAGACAGTACTTATTCCGTGTCAGACTTGCCAACAAGAAGTAGAAAACAAGGTGTTTTCCAGAATGTAGAAGCTGTGGCAACTTCACTTCCATGTAATGGTTTTTTTGTTTCATTTGACAGACATGAGGCCCTAAAAGAAAGCCTTTTATAACGTAATTATGTTGTATCTTAAAACCAAACCTAGAATTAAATACTCTAATAAAATAAATTAACATAATTACTGTTTTTAAATAATAATTCTCTACCTGTTAACATCCTGAAATCTGATGATTTAACATTAATAATCTTGCTTGTCAAAGTAAAATAAGCATCACAAGAGGCAATGGATAAGAGGTGGTTTGACACTACAATCATTTGGAGGCTCACAGTAGATTGTTTTCTGTTTGGGTTCAATGGATCCATATAATGTGCAGTGTTTTATGTCAGGGTAAAGATGACTTTAATTTTCATTGCTAAAGAGCGTGCCGCAGTTCAACCACAAACGTTCACATTTTTTATTGGGATTTTTATGCGCTACACCAACATGTAATGCAGGATTGAGAGACAGAGGGGAAAAAAGAGAAATTTTTCTATATATTACACATTAAGCACAGGTTTATGGTGAGAGGAGTTTCTCCAGTTGTTTTATTGCTGTTTGTCTCTCTTCTCACTGGAATCCAGAAGGAACAAGAGGAAATGAAGCCTCCCAGCACTGGTTCTATACAGCTTCCAATTTCCTCATCTTAATGCTGTCAACAGAATGCCGTTGGCAGGGAGAGGCGGATACTAACCAGAATATTTTCAATCTGTTGAAGTGGGCCATCCATTATCTGCTTCATCTACACACAAACCACTAAACTTTTACCCTTTTGCTGTAGATATATCAGCCTCAATAATTGTGATCCTCAGTCAAAACAGACTTTTTAATTTTTTTATTTTACACCCGATCCTTGGTGCTAAAAAAATGGTGACCAAAGCTATGTATTTCTGTTTAATACCTTGTTTAGTTCTGATTACTAACATTATCTTGATAACTATTGCCTTTTAAGTTAATATAAATAGATATAAAATAATTTGATCCCCCAGAGCACCAGCCTCCATACATCATTGCAGTCCTCCCGCGGTACGTGGAGATCCGGACCTTGGAGCCACGGCTGCTGGTGCAGAATGTGGAGCTGCAAAGGCCACGTTTCATCACATCAGCAGGGTGAGACGAAAAATACATCGATCAGACAAAACAAGAGAAATCAAGTTACAAATTGTAGGACAATCTCGCCTTTTTGATACTTTGGACCCAGCTCAATAAGTTATACATTTTTCCCTATTTCTTAAAAACGTTTTCAGTAGATTTGATTTAAGTTTGTTTTTTAAAATCATGGTAATAGAGTCATAAACCCTTTAAATATCTTCTGATAGATCTACAAGCTCCCATGCATGTTTTATTTTTTCCTAAATAAAAAAAACTCATCCTATCATTTCTTGTGGGGAGAGCTCACTGTCATACCTGAAGAAGTATAAAAAATAAAAATAAAAACTACAAAAGGTAGGAAAAAAAAAAAAATTCTCCCCAAAAAACATCCACCAAAAGGGGATTTTAATATTTGTTCTGTATTTATTTCAGTATTTTCTGTAAAATCTTTTGTTTGTATATCATTTATCTTTCGGGGATTTCATCTCTGTCCCTTCTTTAAATTACAGATGCTATTGGTCCATCTGTAGTGGAGAAGAGCAGCAGCATCGACGTCTAGGGGTTGCTAAAATAATTTCTCTTCCCTTACAGGCCAAATATTGTTTATGTCGCCAGCAACCATTTTGTTTGGCGCCTGGTTCCGGTGTCGATAGCCAGCCAGATCCGACAGCTTCTCCAGGACAAGCAGTTTGAGCTGGCGCTTCAGCTTGCAGTAAGCAGATCAAATTCTGGTGTTACCTTTTACTATAGCAGCATTGATTATTTATTTAAAAAGTTAAAGCTTAGTAATATTTTAACCGATTGTGAAAAGAGTTGATTAAGGGATCTTTGAATTTCCAGCGTTCTTTAAGCAGAAAACCAGATCAAATTTAAGGTTTGGTCACATTTCAGCTCCTCTTATGTGGTTTGTTTTCTCCTCCAGAAAATGAAGGATGATGCAGATGGTGACAAGAAGCAGCAGATTCATCACATCCAGAACCTTTACGCCTTCAACCTGTTTTGCCAGAAGAAATTTGATGACTCCATGCAGGTGTTTGCTAAACTTGGCACCGGTAGGCCTTCTCTTCATCATAATAGACAGCAGTGTTCACTGAATCATGTTTCTTGTTGCAAACAGTGTTGTATGTGCAAGGAGCTCACTTTTGTTTAACTAAAGAAACACAATCTTTCTCTAAGTGGCTGATGTTAAAATAGATTTTGCTATTGTATTGCATTGGTTGCTTTATATTGCCTTTAGACTTCTTATTTTATATTTATTTACTCTGTTTATCAAAAGATCCCACACATGTGATCGGACTTTACCCAGACCTACTCCCATCAGACTTCCGCAAACAGCTGCATTACCCAAACCCTCTGCCTACGCTGTCCGTCGCCGAGCTGGAGAAAGCTCATCTGGCCCTTATAGATTATCTTACCCAGGTGGGTGTTTATGACAAATAAAAAATATATATATATATTCTGAATATGTGAAAAACCTGAAGTCCTGAATTAAAGTTTTAAATGTTTATTTGGTAGTTCGGATCACATGAATTGTGCTAAATAAAAAAAAAAAAAAACAAAATAGTTGTTTGATAATGTTTTTTCTTCTTATCCTGACAGAAACGCAGCCACCTTGTTAAGCAGCTGAACGACTCTGACCCCTCCACCACGTCTCCACTCATGGAGGGCACACCGACCATTAAAAGCCGCAAAAAGCTCCTGCAGATCATTGACACCACGTTGCTGAAATGTTATCTGCATGTAAGGCCTCCAACTCTTTATTCTTCATAGATATTAGCACATTTAATACTCAGTGGATCTTACAGTGCTTTGCATAATGTTGCATATTATGACATTTGTGATGCATTATTTTGCGCACATAGATGTCCACAGTGTCAAGTATGTGACATGTCTTGACAGCCTTTAATTTTATATTCCTAAAGTTTCTGATCAGTTTCTCTTCTTTTGCTCATGATATTAAAAGATAATTAGCCACTCAGGTCTATCCCTGCCTTTTAGAGTTCAGTTGTACAAGTTGAACATGAATATTTTCGCAATCCACCACATTGGCAGGTGCACTTTGAAAATCTACCTGCTGACCAGCATCAAGGGCCCTGCTTAAAAAATGTATTCCCCATAGCATGCTGCTGCCCTCACCATGTTTCACTACCGTCATGTGTTGAGGGTGGTGTGCAGCCTTAGCTTTGATTAAGATGTGCCAAGATAACTCATCCAGCTCAATCTAAAAGCAGTTCTATCCCTTAACTTTATTCAAGGTTTTAAAGTAAAGGATAGATAAAGAAATCTCTCACTTAAAAATGTGGAAAATTTTGTTTTTTTTTAAATTAATAATTTGTAAATGGATAATTAAGTGTTAACATCATACAAATATATGTGCTATCCCAAATAATATTTTTACGTTTTTGACCGTTCTTCATTTTTCCCAGTACTTCCTTGTTCCTGTTTCAGCCTTTTCAAAAAGCCCTGCATCCAAATAAGTTAAGATTTGCTAAAAGAAAAGTTAATAATTTTGAACATTATTTCCTTTCTGTAGTGTTCAGTTATATTTAATTCATATCTTACACAATGTCCTAACCTTTTTGTAGACATTGTGTGAAGGTGGAAGATCCATCGCTAAGATAAAGTTGACGCTGTGTTAGGTCTGATTTAATAAAGTGGGTTAGATGTAACGCCCTAAACGATGAGAGTCTCCAACAGCAAAATAAAAATTAAATTCACAGTGTTTGTTAATCTGTTCTGTTCAGACAAACGTGGCCCTTGTCTCTCCTCTTCTTCGACTGGAGAACAACCACTGCCACATTGAGGAAAGCGAGTACGTCCTGAAGAAATCCCAAAAGTACAGCGAGCTCATCATTCTGTATGAAAAAAAGGGCTTACACCAGAAAGGTAAGCAGCTGCCAAGATCAAATCATGATCAAACTCGCACGTGTTGTGGTTTCGTACCACTGTTGAATTGTTTTTTGATATATAATCATGTATTAAGTACCTATGCCTGGTCAAGATTGTTTCCGACTGTGAATATTCTTCAGGTATATCATTAGATACTTATTTGGAAATGATAATGGGAACAAAGATGGGGAAAGTCGAGGTGGGTGGGGGAGAGGTGGAATGAGAAAATGGGGTGATTGACGAAAAGCTCTGCTGGAAGCCTCACACTAAACATGTCCGGTTTAAATTATCTAGACACATCACAATTCTTAGTAAATCTAAACGTTTTCAGGACCATAAAAAAATTACAAATCCTTTTTTTCACTTATTTTTGATCATACCTCACCTATTGTGTTAAAGTCCTGGGTAGCACCAACAGGACATCACTTAAACTGCAATGCAGCCTGCAGAAAAGATTAGACAGGATAATTCAGAAGGCTGGCTATTAAGGAAACTGTGTGTTTACACCTTGATCATTGTAATCAATCATTCATTTAAATCAGCCGGATTTTGTTTTTCTGTGATTCCTGTTATGCATCTGAAATTTTTTCAAATTATTTGGAGCCTTAGATGGTACCTGGGAAAACTATTCATCTTCTCTAATATTATACATTTATCTTTACAGAAATAATCAAGAACATATGTAAGCAACTTAAGATGAGTTGTATTGCACGTCTGATTTAATCAAAATAACCAAATGCAAAAAGTATTTCCACCTTTCAAGCTTTTTTTCATGTTGTTATCACATTTAAAACAGAATCTTATTTTTAAAAATAATTGTGTGATAAATCCACGACTCCATGGACAGATTCTCTCAGATCAGTTCCTCCCTCTAGTGTCTCCATGTACTGTACCTCTAAGCTTTTATTCTTATTAATGGAGGCCTGTCACCTTAGACCTTGTCTGTTACTGCGCTGTTGTGCTGGACTCCTTTTGCTTTTAGAAAGCAGATGAAGCGTTGCCCTTCAGTGAGATATTCAAAGCTTTTGATGTTGTCGTATTCAAGCCTTGGTTTGAGCGTCTTTCTCCCTGACCTGTCAGCTGTTTAACTTGGTCTTCATGATGCGTGTTTGCTACACATTCTCTCCAACACACCTTTGAGACCATCACAGAGGAGCTGCTTAGTTGTCTGAAATGAAATTAGAAAAGTTTGACCAAGTTTTCCAAAGTACAGGGAGTAGTAAAATGCAGTCCACATTTTTGCAAGGTTCTTTTTTGTAAAATCTAGAACCAATGCTTTTTTTTTTTTTTTCAAGAAGATTATTACTTCTCTTCAGTCACAATAACATCTAAACTAAAGGGAGTCAGGTCAGGCTCAGAAATTAAAAGTGTTTAAATGAGGGTGAGTGATGGTGTAAATATAAATATTCCTTCTTAAAACTCCTAAAAATTACCCCCAGAAAAAGTCTGGTTCCGGTTGTGAACAAAAGCTGAAATGGTTAACAGGTTTCCATTTCTTCAGAAGGATTTCAGTTTAAAAGAAACACGGCAGTTTGTTTTGGATCATAACCGAGCCTTTAATGAATAAAGAAACAAAGGATGGGACTGAAAATTCTGTTCTGTTGGGTCCCTTTGGCCCATTAAAGTCCAGGTCTTTAGCAATTGTTTAAACCACCCTTTATGTTTTCTGTATGGAAAGCTAAACTTTTTATCAGCCCATTTTTTTCTTTTATTGTTTAATTAAAGGAAAACTAATTTTCAATGGGAAAATTAATCTGATGTGAGTCAAGTGAAATATAACTGACGTCAGAGGCTGAGCTGTTTATGTGTTGCATTAAACTGCTGAATAGATCATTTTTTTCAGTTGACTTAAAGCATTGAATGTCAGGCTCTTTGTTTCTCTGAATTTGTCACCTGTCGTCTCGTTACCAGTTAGATGCTTGTAGCGAAGCAATGTCTGTGAGTCAGCTCAATAAAGCCACACAGTTCGTCTCAGAGGAGGTTTCCAGCTTGTGTTTGCGTCATCAGAGTCTTTAAACCCAGAGCAGTTCTGATTTCTCTGGTTTCGGCCCTTTCTGGATGTTGTAGCACAGCTGGTCCTAATTGGCCTGCTGGGATCTACGCTGATGTCACGCTGCCGAAGTTTGCCTCCTGATCCGTCTGCCAATTGAAAGCAGCTGCTCACAGCAACTGACAAACCCTTGTCCAGTTTAGATGCGTAATCATGTCTTTGCTCGTGCTGCTCTGCACCCTCCCCTCTTTCCCTCTCCTTACTTTGTTTGCTCTGTTTCAGCTTTGCAGGTTCTGTTGGACCAATCCACCAAGGCCAACTCTCCTCTGAAAGGCCATGAGCGAACCGTCCAGTACCTCCAGCGACTTGGTGAGAATCAGGAATCCTTTGCTTCTACAGTCATGGAGATAATTTATTAGGATTTGGTTTGACAGACATTGAAAACATGTTGCATCATTGAGAAGCAGAATGAAAATGAAATGCTTTTTAATTAGTCTTTTAAAGAACAATGTCTGACTGTAATTACAGCTTCAAATATTCACTCTCTGCCAACTTTGCACATCTAAACACTCACTTTGTTGCCTATTTTTTTATTAAGTGAATTTTGTTCCACTATTGCTACAGGCCAGGAACATGTTTTGTTACATTTGATTAAAAAAAGGAATCGAGATATGAAGCTTCCTTATATTATAAGCTTTTAAGATATCTATTTTTAGGAATTAGTTTTACTAATGCATTCCTCTCAAAAGGAGTTTTGTTGCTAACAGACCAGCAGACCAAAAGAAACACTCCTCGCTCCTCACTCCAGAGGAAAGCTCGCCCACAGAGGTGGAGAGAATCTTATCTGTAAAACACAATTTAAAAAAGAATTATTATAGTTCCTGTAGTCTTATTAGTACTTATGTGGCTTTTGTGGGAGGTCAGTTGCACTGGTATATATTTAGGGATATAAGATTCATGGTTGTTGAGTACAAAAGCACATTATTATTTATCAGAGCAGATCGAATCCCTATGACATACCTAGCTTGTGGCTGTAGTGTGACAAAATGTAAAATGAAGAGATGTATGAAACTTCTTGCACAGCACCAATCGTCTTGACAGTTTGAACTGAATAGTTTTATTTTTTTTTTATAAACTAATAACGACAAAGGTTAGAGTTTCCTAACCTGTAAACTTATTTTACTCACAGGAGCAGAGAATCTGGGCATAATCTTCGAGTTTTCCCCATGGGTGCTTAAGATCTGTCCAGAGGATGGCCTGAAGGTGGGAAGCAGATATTTTCTCTCTGATTTATGTGTCTCAGCTTCCTGTACTGCCGTGACAGGAAGGCACAGGCAATTTAAATAATCCCCTACTTAAACATCGACTTAATGTCTCCTCTTTGCTCAGATCTTTACTGAAGATCTGCCTGAGGTGGAGACTTTGCCTCGAGACAAAGTGCTTCAGTTCCTGAAGGAAGGCTTTGAGGAGCTGGCCATCCCGTATCTGGAGCACATCATCTACGAGTGGGATGAGAAGGGCCCGGAGTTCCACAACGTCCTGATTCAACTGTACCTGAGCAGGGTTCAAGGCCTGATGAAACAGTACCTCAACTCGCTGCCAGAAGGTGTGTTCAGATATTCCCACACCCTTTAGGGGGCTTTAAAGTAAAAAAAAACCTGCCAGGGTTATTTTTGCTTGTAATAATTGATGGTCTCGTTCTTTCGAGTTGTAAAAACAAAAGCGTAAATTTAGATTCACATTCACAGGAAAGTTTTTGCATACCATCAAACATTAAAAAAATATTTTATTCAAATAAACAAAACAGTGTAACCATAGTAGGTTAATCCCATGATGCATTTCTTTTAAGCATGAATAGATGGAAGGAGCCTCCATTTAGAAAGATTCCTCCCTGAAAATCAATATCAAATCTTTGAGTATTGACTGTTATGAATATTGATCAGACATATGTGACATATGCAGAGAACAAAAGTAAATAAAAAAGGTATTAGAAAAACTGATCCATTTATTATGAACCAAGAGGTTATAATAACTTTAAACAATAAAGGAATGAAGTGCAAGGCCCCGAGTTTATGCAAACGTTTTCTCAGCTCTGACAACAGGCTGAAACGAATAGTTCTTTTGTTCACCTGCTTCAATAATGTGTTTCGTAGTTATTTTTATCAAAGCATCATATTTTTTTGACAAAAAGAGGACAAACTGTGTTTACTTTGCATTCCCAGGGAAGATCTGAGCTCATTCTTAAAAAAACACCCTAATGTTTACTCTCATTTTATTCTTCTATATATCAGAATACGGTTTGAACCCTTTCGTTGTGCTAAACAAACATTGTATTTTCTTGTGTGTTTGTGATTTCTTTTCACAAACTGTCGCCCAGTTTCACTCTCCAGTGTGTCAATATCAGCGGCAACTCAGACAAAGTATCGAGGTGAACGAGAGCGTGGATGAACGGACTGATGGAACCCATTGAGGCAACTGCTATAAATAGTGGAAAACTCATTTTACATCTCAGGCTATCGTAGGAGAAATAAAAAGAATATATTTAACCTTTAAACATAAGAGTATTCTACAAATGAAAACATTTCAAAATGAAAATTTTGCTCATGACAAATTTTGTGCTTAGCTGCAAAGTCCAGTAATGTTTGCTCCAGTAAAGTAGCTTCGGCTACTTTGGTAGTAGAAGCTGTTAAAGCTGATTTATACTTCGAAACTAGGTCCATTGCGTAGGTGTCGCCTCCCCGCTCCATCCGCAGACACTCTACTGCACCTCTCCAAAATTGTAGATGACCGCAGAAAGGAGGCCTCTGATTGGTACGGCCATATCTAGACCCACAGCTAGTTTGTGATTGTCCCTCTTGCGTTGTGGCGAGGAATAACATAGCGCATATCAGGCTTCAAAATTGAGCATGAATCAAAAATGTCTGCATCATACCTGTGACAAGCTCACTTCGACACACTGGTGCAGGAGGATGACCAGCCCTTTACTGTTTGAGATGTTGTCTGTTGGGTAGAGATGCATGATCAGAATAAATGATGAAGATGAGTGCTGTAGCTTCCGTCAGCTTTTAGATGCAGGCTGATATAACCGTAAACTCTTTGTTCAGTTGATATCAGAAAGATTTTTTTTTAGTATCCATGTAGGACCAGGACATCCCTGACTGTGTGGTACAGTAAAATGTTCCTGTCTGAGTGATTGGCCTATAGCGTTGGTAAAGTGATTAATAATTGATTTTTATAACAAACATAATGATGTCATTTGATCTAATTTCAAAGTTACGCACCAAAAGGATAAAAGGAATATATTTTTTAATTCTTACAGACAGCATACTAAGATATACTAACAAAGATTAAGCAGGTTTGTCTCCAGTTTCAGAGTTTATAGACTGATAATTCACTCTACTATCCATCGTAGGGCGAATCATGCTAATGACATGTGCTTTGTTTATGTAGGGGTTCCTGCTGTTCCTGCTGGGCACGAAAAAGGTGAACTGGGAAGCTTCAGGAATAAGCTGCTGTCCTTCCTGGATATTTCTACCAGCTACGAACCTGGCAGACTCATCAGCGACTTTCCATTCGATGGTAAGAAGGGGTTTTAAAGCTCTCGCCTCCCAGGTTTACAAAAAATAGTTTTTACACAAATGGGGGGAATTTGGGAAAAATGGATTATAACCCTGCTGTAAAAACTTTATTCAACCCCGTTTTTTTCCTAACGGGCAGCTAAGTCTTCTTATGATAAATTTAACACGGCTGTAGCAGAGATGTTTACGAGTCATTTTTTGTAAGTCATAGTGAAGTCTGAAGTCTTGAGCAAAGTCCTTTGTATTTGACAGTCACAATGCAATGATGTGTCATGACATCTGCTAATTAGTTTCCATAGAAAGCTGCACTGTGATATATTATCTTAAACTGGGAAAAAAAATGGAAAATTTGTTTTCCAGATAAATGTTGCATCTTTTTCTTTACAAAGAAAAAAAACAGCAAACTATTTTCTGAACATGGATATTATTTAGATTAGAAACTAACCTTCCTGTATTTTGTTGCCACAGATGCTGCAGATTGTGGCTCCTTTATTTGCTCTTAGTGTGAAGTTTTTGTAGCCATAACATATTTAGAAAGGGTTGGACAGAAACAGGGGTGCGCACCCTCGCCTTCATGACTGATGGGATGCACAGGTGTGTGCGTGTGTCACATTGCATACGAAGGAGAAGAGAAAGGGCTCAGAAGAAAGAAATGACCAGATTGTATCTGTGAAGTTCATTTGCATCTTATGCATGCACAGCTAATCAAAAAATGTTTGGGCTTTTCTATACCATCCACCATCCCCTTAATCCTGAACCTGAGTTGTTCATGATCTGTTACAGTTCAGTACAGTAAAATTATTAGTTTAGATAAATCCATATTTTCTCTGAGATGATCTATGAGGAAATATTACAGACAGCAGATGCTGCATTCCATATAGCCTGTTGTTAAAGTGATACAACTTACATGTATGGTGCAGCTCTCTAAATTAGATTTTTTTTTCTGCTAAAAAAAAAAAACCTTAATCTGAAATTTATCTGACAAAACCTAGTTAATCCCTCTCTACATGTTTTCATCACTGATGATGAGATGAAGAGCCTTGATTTAATCTAAATGGAGGGACTTAATTTCTGTTTGATGTCATTTAGGACATTATATCCTGCAGGTTTTTTGCTGCATAACTGAACTTGTTTTCCATCTCTAAGGGTTGCTGGAGGAACGGGCTTTGCTCCTGGGTCGCATGGGTAAACACGAACAGGCGCTTTTCATATATGTTCACGTTCTCAACGACACCCACATGGCTGAAGAGTGAGTACTTGAACACCAGCAAACCCTTACACAACCTCACATGGTAACAGTAACCATCAGGTTGTCTGACTGATCTAAAGTGAGTTTGTTTCTTTGAATGATAAAAGCAGACAACTCCTCTGAACATCAAACATTCTGTGAAATGTTGCCAGCATGTTGGTTTTATTGATCAGGTTTTGATCCAGCTATTTGTTAGTCTCTGATTGAACTTTCATTTTTTTTGTTTTTACTATATAGATACTGTCACCGGCATTATAACAGTTCAGTGGAGGGAAATAAGGACGTAAGTACTATTTATTTATTTTTCTCTTTGTAGCGCTTTTTTCAATGCTACAAAGTTTGATCATAATAGCAGAAAAATTAGACATTTTCATAAAGGGCATAAATTTACAAAAAATGAATCAAAACTGTTTCTTAAGACATTGTGATGCATCAGGAGCAGGAGGAGAGAAGAGGAAGAAGGTCAGCAGAGGCAAGACAGAATATGTTTGTGAAGGAGGATGGAGCACCTGGGCTCAGTAATTCAGGCAGGGCTGGGCTACTGTGGAAGAGGCAGAGTTAACGATGTAGAGATTTTTGCTTGGATGGACAAGACTGAAAAGTAGGAGATCAGAGGAATGGATTAGGTTGGGCGGTCTGGAGATTAATTTTGCCAGGTTCAGATAGTTTATAGGAGGCAGGATGTCTGCTGTTCCTAAATTAGAGTTCTGATTCTGGTTCCTGAATTTTAGAAATTTTGTTTGTCTGTTTTTTAAACTCAGTCATAAAAGAGATGGTGAACTTTCTCTTTAGTTTGGAAAAAATAAATGATGTTTGAGTAAACTGGAGTTTTTGGTCTAATAGTTTCATTTTAATTGGCCTCATTTCATTATATTTTATTCTGTTTGAAAGCGCCATGAATGGACCAGAGTTCTATTCTGATCCGTACCTTATATTCAGGTGTTAATACCAGTGAACTGCTGGTCCGACCAAACGTCCAGACTAGGGCTGAAACAACTAATCGGATTAATCGTTATTAATTGATTATTGAGATAATCGTCAACTAATTTATAGTGAGACTTTAAACATGCCTTAAGCTGACAGAGCAGTAATTATACCAAAATTGTAAAAAAAAAAAAAAAAAAAATCGACAATCTTTATTGTCTGCAAAATGCTCTATCCATAACTCATCAAGTGGAAAAGTTTCATCTGGTTTAGTTTTGTAAAAAGTCTTCGTTAAGACACCTTTGGCTATCAGATTATTAATCGATTTGCAAAATAATAGTTAGTTTCAACTCTAGTTCAGACTATGTCTTTCTTTTTGAGGGAGACGGAGTTTGCTTCCATATGGACCCTGATCCAGCTCTGTTCTTTAATTTGAACAGACAAACAAAGATAAAGTCCCATGAAGGTCCAGATTGAAGGACTTTCCTGCTGTAAATGTACCTGGTATTGTAATTCTCATAATTAAACCAGTGTTTTTATTTATCCCTGTTGATTTCAGAGGTTTAAACTGATGAGCCTCTGTTCTCGGCTCATCCTCCCTGTTATCCGCTGAAAGTTCTGCTCTCTCCAACTTTCTTAATGCTTGATTGATCTGAAAGTCAAACGTCTGTCCCTGTGTGTGTCATTTATTCATTGTCATTACGTCCAACCTAAATGAGATCTGACTGCAGGGAAGAATTAACTGCTGTTGCAGGTTTATCTGTCCTTGCTGCGGATGTACCTCTCCCCCCCTGACTCTCACTACCTGGGGCCCATTACGATGGAGCTCACTGAGCCTAAGGCAAACCTGCAGGCAGCCCTGCAGGTCCTGGAGCTGCACCACAGCAAGCTGAACACCTCCAAGGTGACCACTTCTTTGACATTTTGCACTTTTAAACTTAAAATTTGTTTCTGAATCATTGCTATGAATAAAAGACAAGGGTTGAGGAACAATTTCTGCTCTGATGAGACAAAATTAATGTATCAGAGCTGATGTATCCAAAATCATTTTTTAAACAAGTTTTTCTGTGGTGATTATGTCTTTCTAGGCTATTAATCTGCTCCCAGCAAACACTCAGATCCGGGAGATAAGGGTGTTTCTTGAGAGCGTCCTGGAGGAGAAGGCCCAGATGAAGCGCTGTAATCAGGTGTTGAAGAGTCTCCTGCAGGCCGAGTTCCTCCGGGTGAGTTCTGGGGTCGGTTATTTCCACACAAAGGGACAGCATGATGCCTCAGTGGCTCCCATGCAGAGGGAAATCCCAAAGGGACATGTATGCAGCATTTGATGCATTCCCTTCAAAACCAAATGATACAGACCATTTAGGGGATTAATGAGGATACTAAAACATTATTAGGACAGTAGGGCTGTGGTTTGGAACTTAACTAGTCCTCAACCTCAGTAACTAGTGGATGACTGCATTTGAAAGATTTAAATTGTTCTTTTTTTAGGCATGCAGATGACTGTGGTTAGAAAATTTTTTATTTAAAGCTATTTATTTGTGTTTTATTTCAGGTGCAAGAGGAACGAATCTTCCATCAGCAGGTTAAATGTGTAATAACAGAAGAAAAAACCTGCAGAGTCTGCAAGAAGAAGATAGGAAACAGGTACAGCAATCTCTCATACAAGACATGGCTTATATTTCATTACGAGTAGGAAAATGGATACCTTTTTTTATCGATATAAAATCATAATCTGTTTTTTTTTTTTTTCCTAAATCTTAATTGTTTATATCTGCTGTACAGCACCTTGCAAAAGGCTTAATGGCTCTTGACTTTATCATATTTTTCTTGCAGGAAAAAAACTTCAGTCTGTTTTAATCATAGACCAACAAGAAGTGATGTGTTGTGCAATTATTCTTATGATATAAGAATAATTTATATTTATTAATTATTATTATACCTGGAAGTCATGATAAAAAAAAATAAAAATCATCCATTACTTATAGATATGTTATTTGCACAAGAGAATTGTAATTAGCATTTGATGATTAGAACTATTTGGATCGTCGGTTAACAATCATTTATTCAGCCAGTAAATGTGGCCGTTGTGCAATTATTCTTATGATAAATGATAAAACCTCTAATAAATGTTAATTTTAATTTATAACTGCAGTTGGTTTTATTAATCATTAAAGGTGAATTCTGAATTCCGGTTATTAACACTTTTAGCCCATTTTCTGTAGTGTCCAGGAAGAAAACGAATGATCGACACCAAAATTTTGACAACTGGTCCTGTCTCTGCTTTTTGGCTCATGCAGAATCCCCCCCTGGCTGCTTCAGAATGGCTTCCATAGTGCATGTCCGATAATGTCCTTAAAACAACCTTAAACGTTCTTTTTTTAAAATATGCTACTCACCGGGTCGTCAGCGCTGTTCAATGACATTCCAAAAAAAGTTTCGTGAAGAAAAAACCGTTCCTGTCTTGTTTTATTTAGCATTTTGTAAATCCCAGAACTATTTTTTCCGATACATCACAACCGCTTATAAACTTCCGCTTCCCGTTTGAATCTGAAGCGTTGCACACTCCAGACCACTAGTTGGCGACAATGTCTCTATACTTTGGGAATGTATATGAATATGTCCTCCTCAAGAATCCACCTTTCGTATTCCATTTTCAGACTTTTTTAAAGTGTTTAACAGAGACGTTAGCACCTCGACGTCGGAGTACACAGATTGAAGCAGAAACACTTGGGCCTTGCGAAAAGACTACAACTACAGTTGTGGTCAAAAGTGTACCTACACTTGTAAAAAATCATAATGTTATGGCTGTCTTGAGTCTTCAATAAGTTCTACAACTCTTATTTTTCTGTGATAGAGTGATCGGAACACATACATGTTTGTCACAAAAAAACAGTCATAAAATTTGGTTCTTTCATAAATTTATTATGGGTCTGCTGAAAAATGTCACCAAATCTGCTGGGTCAAAAATATACATACAGCAACATTAGTATTTGGTTACATGTCCCTTGGCCATTTTCACGGCAACTAGGCGCTTTTGGTAGCCATCCACAAGGTCCTGGCAAGCTTCAGGTCGAATGTTTGACCACTCTTCTTGACAGAATTGGTGCAGTTCAGCTAAATGTGATGGTTTTCTTGCATGAACCTGTTTCTTTAGCACTGTCCACATGTTCTCAATGGGGTTTAAGTCAGGACTTTGGGAAGGCCATTCTAAAACCTTAATTCTAGCCTGGTTTAGCCATTCCTTTACCACTTTTGATGTGTGTTTTGGGTCATTGTCTTGTTGGAACACCCAACTGCGCCCAAGACCCAACCTTCGGGCTGATGGTTTTAAGTTTTCCTGCAGACTTTGGGGGTAATCCTCCTTCTTCATTATCCCATTTACTTTCTGCAAAGAACCAGTTCCACTGGCAGCAAAACATCCCCAGAGCATAATACTACCACCACCATGCTTGACAGTAGGCATGGTGTTCCTGGGATTAAAGGCCTCACCTTTTCTCCTCCAAACATATTGCTGGGTGTTGTGGCCAAACAGCTCAATTTTTGTTTCGTCTGACCAGAGAACTTTCCTCCAGAAGGTTTTATCTTTGTCCATGTGATCAGCAGCAAACTTCAGCCGAGTCTTAAGGTGCCTTTTCTGGAGCAAGGGCTTCTTTCTTGCACGGCAGCCTCTCAGTCCATGCCGATGTAAAACACGCTTGACTGTGGAGACTGACACCTGTGTTCCATCAGCTTCCAAATCCTTGCAGACCTGCTTCTTGGTGATTCTTGGTTGACTCTTGACCATCCTGACCAATCTCCTCTCGGCAGCATGTGATAGCTTGCGTTTTCTTCCTGATCGTGGCAGTGACACAACTGTTCCATGCACTTTATACTTGCGTATAACTTGCTCTTGGGACCTGTAGCTGCTTTGAAATGGCTCCAAGTGACTTCCCTGACTTGTTCAAGTCAATAATTCGCTTTTTCAGATCCACACTGAGTTCCTTTGACTTTCCCATTGTAGCTTTTGTAGCTGAGTCTAATCACTGGGTCAAATGAGCCCTATTTAAATGGGCTCATGAGAAGTCAACAGCTGTAGTCAATCAGAATCACTTAGAAGAAGTGAAGAGGCCATGACATGAAGCTAATTTGATTGACACAACTCGCTACATCACCAAAGTTGACAAATTTTGTTGCTGTGTGTATATTTTTGACCCAGCAGATTTGGTGACATTTTCAGCAGACCCATAATAAATTTATGAAAGAACCAAATTTTAAGACTGTTTTTTGTGACAAACATGTATGTGTTCCGATCACTCTATCACAGAAAAATAAGAGTTGTAGAACTTATTGAAGACTCAAGACAGCCATAACATTATGATTTTTTACAAGTGTAGGTACACTTTTGACCACAACTGTAAGTGTAAACAGGCCCCATTTCCGTTTCCGGTGGCGGAGGGATATTGACTATTCCAACAGAACTCAATGGGATTTACAAAATGCTAAATAAAACACTACAGGAACGTTTTTTCTTTACGAAACTTTTTTTGGAACGTCATTGAACAGCGCTGACGACCCGGTGAGTAGCATATTTTAAAAAAAGAACGTTTAAGGTTGTTTTAAGGACATTATCGGACATGCTCTATGCTAGCCATTCTGAAGCAGCCAGGGGGGGATTCTGCATGAGCCAAAAAGCAGAGACAGGACCAATTGTCAAAATTTTGGTGTCGTTCATTCGATTTCATCCTGGACACTACAGAAAATGGGCTAAAAGTGTTAAAAACCGGAATTCTCCTTTAAGTAATCCACCATAAATTCTCAAACTGCCTCAAAAGGGTTGTTTCAAGCAATAGCTTTTAGAAACAGATTGTTTATATAAACCAATAAGGTACCACTTTATGCTAAAATGTATTAAAAGTAATACTTTCCCTATTACAAGCAAATATTCAATTTAATCCTTAGCTAAAACACACAAACTACAAAGAGAATAAAACAAAAATGGTGTCAGTGCAAATGAGGAATCTTGATAACAGAGGCCTCTAGACAATGTGCTCTCTGCAGAAATCCTCTACTTCCAGAAATCAAGGCAGCGCGTTTGTTTCCTGTTTGCTTCTATGCACTGAACTGATTAATCCAGGTGTGCCTGACCTCAGTAACCATGGGCAGACACACCTGGATTAATCAGGTCATCCAGTAATGAAAGACAGGAAACAAAGGAGCTGCATTGAGTTCAGGAAGTAGTGGAGTTGTGCATAGAGCCCATTAAGCAATTAATCAAGTTTTAGTTTAATTTCAGCACTGACCAATCATCAATCAGAGCAGCATCAGGTATGAAATAAAAACAGCTTTGGATGAAACCTGGAAGAAAGATGGGAGTACAGCAGCTTCTAGCTTCAGGATGCTAAAACCTGTCAACACAATGAGCCATAAATCACACAGGGTCAGAGCGGTGGGGTTGCAGCCAAAGAGGAGCTAGCAGATGTTCTTGGTGGGCAGCTAGAAGCACCTGGCCATAGAAGGAATGGGAAAGGGAAAGAAAATGTCTGCTGGGATATGTTAGTTAAAGTCTGTTTATATATAGCTAGAATGCATTGTTTGCAAACATAAGCTTGCTGTCTACACCACTGGTCTAGAACTGGGTAGATTAACCATTTAAAGAGTAACAGGACATAGCTGTGAAGGATTAGAGTTTGAAACCAATGGTCCAGACCCTTCATTTACCACCACCTTGGACAAATTTAGTGGTAGCATCATGCTGTGGGCTTGCTGTTTTTTCAATAATAAAAGGGGCGCTGGTCTAAGCTGACAGTGAGACAGATGATGCTAAATACAGACCAAATTCCTGCAGAAAACCTGCTGCATAAGAGCATGTTCAGTGTTAGAATGGCCAAGTCAAAGCTCAGACATAAATCCATTAGGAATCCATGACCGTCTCTGTCCATGTTATCTGACTTAGCTTGATTTATTCTCTAAAGAAAAATGAAAAAGCTAATGACACCCCAAAAGGAATCCAAATTTTTATTTAAAAATGAAAAAAATTATTAACTTTTTCCTTCCACCTTAGACAAAATGCGTATATAATAAATTATGTTTTTCGTTCTGTTACATGTGAAAAAACCTTGATGCTTTATGTCAATCTAATGCTTCTTACTGGAACAGATGATGATGATGATGATGCTACTAAATCTTCGTTCTTGTGGTTCTCTTTCAGTGCATTTGCCAGGTATCCTAATGGCGTGGTTGTGCATTATTTCTGCTGCAAAGATCGCAGCGTCTGCCCCACTGAGCAGTAAGAGCCGCTTCACACTGGGCCTGATAAACCCCCACCTTCTCCTCCACCCTTTGGACTCGGACATGTTGGAAGGACTAATATAAATAAAGTATTGATTTATTTTTGGCCTGAGACATCTCAGAGCAGAGCAGGGCCACAGTTTGAGCCTTTCTCTCGGTACACATGAAGAAACATTCGGAAAGACTCTCAAGAGGAAGAGAGAGGTCGATGCAGACAATCCAAAACGTGCTTCTGAAACACTGTAAAGGATTTGTTGCCTTACAGGCATGATTATTGACAGCTGGGATGACGGAGATTTGTGCTGAGTATCTCTGATTATCACAGACTGGGCTTTTTTGGTTAGTTCCCTAGAGACCATTGATATGCCATACTGAGAGCTACAGTACTGTTAAAACGCCTTCTGTGACTCTGAAGATTGTACCTGTGTGAAACAAGATGTCACTCATGACTTTCTGTTAGAGTATAACCAACTTTGTTGTTTCCCTAGAACATATCAGTTTTTGTCATTTAATATAATTTACAATTAGTTTTTTCCCACCTAATCTATACCCAAATTAACCAATTGTTTTTTATTTTATTCAATTTAATCAGTTCAATTGTGGGTTGAGGAATAGAGTTTATCACCATCACTGGTCTGCCTTTGTTAGTTGGGATCTGTTACAGTAAATATATTTACCATAGGTTTGGACTGTTTACACAAAACCTAAAAGAAATAACATCACCAAGGCTTATTAATCAGTTTTAAAACTGTAGCAGTATTCACTTCAACACCTTTTTATCATTTTTTATTTCCAACTTTAACTGGAAGCTTGAATTTTTGTGTTTTCTCTCACTAAGAGAGAAAATGTTAGTCCTGCACTTTAAATTGATTCTATGATTTTTTTTTTTTTATACTGCAATTATACTAAACCTAAGAGGAAGGGTAGATGTTTGAAGGCAATATTGTTCTGAAATGTGTCTGTTTGCTGTTTCTCTAGTGAGAAGTTCAAGAAGCAGAGATGTTTTCTTTACTAAAAATTAAAAAAGCATGCAGCGTTTGCTGGGTAATTTCTCCTTATTTTATTTAACCTTTAAGCTCACAAATTCATAAACAAACAGGTTTTAGATGCTAAACATGCATGGTAACATTACTAATGAGAATGAAACTAAAGCTTTTTAAGTAAGTAAGTTTAAGATTTGTATTTTTTTGTTTTCATCTAAAAAAATATGTGAAATCAAATGTTTCATCTGAGTTACAAATACAAGGTTACAGCTAAGAAACAATAAAAGTATAAATCACTAATTTAAACAATCATACATTTCCAAGTATAAATTGCAAATTTATGAGAATTAAGTTACAGATTTAAAACGGTGAATAAGAATTTTAGAAGTTGAATTTCGGTTGACTACAGTAAACAAAACAAATGATTGATTTAATATTGACTTAAATGTACAAATGTTGACACTCATGTATCCGCTTTGAGTTATATTAGCACATAATGGTGTTTGAGGACTGGCCAGCCTCTTAAAAATTTACATAAAATTTTTACTGGGACAAATATCCCCATTCTAGACTTTTAATGATTTATTTAAACATTTCTTCTTTCGTTCAGGAAGGAATTGAATGAGCTAGCGGTGTCCCAATCCAACTTTTTCATTGCTGATATGACATCAAAATAGCAGCTTTGAGTTCTGTATGATACCAATATTGACCAAATAAGATATCAGGACAAAAGATACTCAAGTTGTTAGAAAGTCAAAAAAAGGCTGATTAGGTACAACAAGTATGAGAAAAACGCATCCCTTTATGTTTAACTAATGCGTTGCATAAATTTTATATTAAAAAGGAAATTCATCTGTTGAATAAATTATAATTTAGAAGACTGGAAAATTGTGCAAGACAGGTTTTGAACTCAGCAATAGCTTGTTTTTCAACCTCCAGAAGGTAAAAGCCACATCGCACCGTAACATCTGCTGTGGTGACGGCGCTCTGTGTGCAGGATACAAGCACGGCTACATAGAAATGCTAAAGCTGATTACATGATGGAGCCAAGTCCATCTATCTGTGCTCATTTCAGACATTTTAGATGCAAGTTGATATAATTTGATCAGCAGATGCCTTCTTGAAACATTTTGTTGAATTTCTAAAAAGAACGAGGTGCATGAGTTAAAGCTAAATTGAGCAAGTATACATGTTTCACTTCACTATAATGACCTTTGGAGATGTTAATGATTTTTATTGGTGATCATGTTTGCTAGGTTTGCAGTTTGCTCTGGAATTTATTTATGTGAATTTTCTTAAAGCTACAGTGTGTAATAATTACAGGCATATAAAGTCAGAAATTTAATATATTATACATAACTGTTATTTATCATCACCTATGAGCTCAGCCTTTTAACCATAATATTTGCGTTGCCTTAGAATTCGTTATTTATAATTACATAGGAGCGGGTCTCGCAGCCATGGAGGCTGACATCTTTGCGCTACGGCACCGCAGAGGCAACAAACTAGCGATTGCGAGATCTCCCATGACGCTCGAAAATAACTACGGCAAGTTGAGAGAGATGAACTGAGACGGTACTGAACAGTAGATGGCAGTATTATGCCTGAGAAGCGTTTAGTCTGCCTGAAACCAAAGAAGAAGAAGAAGCAGCTATACTGCGGCTGCGTCTCAATTTGCAGGCTGCGTACTTCCGAGGACGCAGCCTACATAGCCTCCGGAGGACCCAGACTCGGTAGGCTGCTCCGGAGGATCCTCAGCCGTTGGTAAATGGGACGGTCTAGCCTTTGGAGCACTTCCTGGTTGCGACACGACGTCATCACGTTTACCCCAAACACTTCGGTGCTTTCTTATGGGGCCAAAATGGTAGCTTGTGTGTAAAAAATCCACAAATCTGTATTCAGATCTGCAAATGTGTACTGAGATTTGCAAATGTGTAGATCAATCTGTAAGCACACACAGAGACACTTGTGTCTGAAGTATTTTCGCTTCAAGACCCAGAAATACAGACAAATCATTGGTTACAAGTCAAGCGGTTTTTCGGTTGGCTCTCTTTACACACGTGATTTTTGCTACTCTTCTGCCGTGTGAGATGCACAAATGCGTAGAAGGATTTGTATGTGTATTTTCGCGATTTGTAACCCCTTGCGCAGGCTCACATGCTGCCCTGACCGCAGGCTCGCAGGCTCACAGGCTCACAGACAGCCTCTACCTTTTTTTTTTTTCCTCCGCTGCGGGAGTTGACGTGACAAGGATGATATTGATACCATTCAGTAAGGAAAAAATGTCATCTATTATTAAACAAAAGGTTACGGAAAGATGGCAGAAGCTGTGGGAAGAGCATATAACTGGAAGTTGGCTTTATAGTATTCAAAGGAAAATTGGTGAAATGAGGAGAACGGAAAGGAATAAAAAAGAGGTTATATCTAGATTAAGTTTCGGAAATACGGGGTTAAATGGAAACTTATTTAGAATGGGAACAGGAGGTTGTGGTTTTTGTTATCAAGGGGAGACGGTGGAGCATGTTTTGTTGTTTTGTTATAAATATTCTATGGAGAGAAGGGTTACAAGAAAATAAATTACAGTTAAATATACAAGATATTTTGGGGAAAAAAATCTACTTATGATTATTTTTGTAATTTGATAAACAATCTTGAAAAAACGAAATTGGTAGAAAGGATATAAGTTTATTTATGTAAATATTGTTAATATTTTTTTTTATTTTTCAGTGGGAAAATACATAGCATCCCGATCCACACTCCACTGAACTACAGGTGCTGGTCATAAAATTAGAATATCATGAAAAAGTAGATTGATTTCAGTAATTCCATTTAAAAAGTGAAACTTGTATATTATATTCATACATTACATACAAACTCATATATTTCAGATGTTTATTTTGTTTAATTTTGATGATTACAAATGACAACAAATGAAAATCTCAAATTCATCATATCAGAAAATTAGAATATTACTGAAGACTAATAAAAACAAAGGATTTATAGAAATGTTGGCCAACTGAAAAGTATGAACATGAAAAGTATGAGCATGTACAGCACTCAGTATTTAGTTGGGCCTCCTTTGGCCTGTATTACTGCAGCAATGCGGCGTGGCATGGAGTCGATCAGTCTGTGGCACTGCTCAGGTGTTATGATAGCCCAGGTTGCTCTAATAGTGGCTTTTAGCTCTTCTGAATTGTTGGGTCTGGTGTATTGCATCTTCTTCACAATACCCCATAGATTTTCTATGGGGTTAAGGTCAGGAGAGTTTGCTGGCCAATTAAGAACAGGGATACCATGGTCCTTCAACCAGGTACTGGTAGCTTTGGCACTGTGTGCAGGTGCCAAGTCCTGTTGGAAAATGAAATCTGCATCTCCAAAAAGTTGGTCAGCTGCAGGAAGCATGAAGTGCTCTAAAACTTCCTGGTATGTGGCTGCGTTGACCCTGGACCTCAGAAAACACAATGGACCAACACCAGCAGATGACATGGCACCCCAAACCATCACTGACTGTGGAAACTTTACACTGGACTTCAAGCAACGTGGATGAAGTGCCTCTCTTCTTTTCCTCCAGACTCTGGGACCTTGATTTCCAAAGGAAATGCAAAATTTACTTTCATCAGAGAACATGACTTTGGACCACTCACCAGCAGTCCAGTCCTGTTTCTCTTTAGCCCAGGCAAGACGCTTCTGACGCTGTCTGTGGTTCAAGAGTGGCTTGACACAAGGAATGCGACAGCAGAAACCCATGTCTTTCATACGTCTGTGTGTGGTGGTTCTTGAAGCACTCACTCCAGCTGCAGTCCACTCTTTGTGAATCTCCCCCACATTTTTGAAGGGGTTTTGTTTCACAATCCTCTCCAGGGTGCGGTTATCTCTCTTGCTTGTACACTTTTTTCGACCACATCTTTTCCTTCCCTTCGCCTCTCTATTAATGTGCTTGGACACTGAGCTCTGTGAACAGCCAGCCTCTTTAGCGATGACCTTTTGTTTCTTGCCCTCCTTGTGCAAGGTGTCGATGGTCGTCTTTTGGACAACTGTCAAGTCAGCAGTCTTCCCCATGATTGTGTAGCCTATAGAACTAGACTGAAAGACCATTTAAAGGCTTTTGCAGGTGGTTTGAGTTAATTAGCTGATTAGAGTGTGGCACCAGGGGCCATCAATTTTGAACCTTTTCACAATATTCTAATTTTCTGATATGATGAATTTGAGATTTTCATTTGTTGTCATTTGTAATCATCAAAATTAAACAAAATAAACATCTGAAATATATGAGTTTGTATGTAATGTATGAATATAATATACAAGTTTCACTTTTTAAATGGAATTACTGAAATCAATCTACTTTTTCATGATATTCTAATTTTATGACCAGCACCTTTAGATGGTGGTAATGCACATCATAAAGTTGCTTGCCAACCGCCATAAAACAGAAGCAGAAGAAGAAGAAACAGTTTTACTAATGCAAACTATAGGAAAAATTAAAGAAATATACTTACAGAAAGCTGACGGGATTCCATTGCTCTCAACTTAGCAGGTACAACCCCTAGGACCCCAGTAACGTCACGTACTGTACAATACCGCCAACTGGTGGTATGTGGCTGTATGTGAAGCAAGTTGTGCTGAACTGCCGCAGCAGAGAGAGGCTGTCTGTGAGCCTGCGGTCAGGGCAGCATGTGAGCCTGCGAGCCTGCGCAAGGGGTTACAAATCGCGAAAATACACATACAAATCCTTCTACGCATTTGTGCATCTCACGCGGCAGAAGAGTAGCAAAAATCACGTGTGTAAAGAGAGCCAACTGAAAAACCGCTTGACTTGTAACCAATTATTGGTCTGTATTTCTGGGTCTTGAAGCGAAAATTCTTCAGACACAAGTGTCTCTGTGTGTGCTTACAGATTGATCTACACATTTGCAAGTCTCAGTACATATTTGCAGATCTGAATACAGATTTGTGGATTTTTTTACACATTTGCAAAACGGATTACACACAAGTAGTTTTACACATTTGCAGATTGTTGTACAGACACACAAATCTCCTCACACATTTACAGATTTA